TTTTTTTTTTTAATTTACCCCATTACCACTAATTCATGTGTATTCTGGATTTTATTTATTATAAATAACCACAAAAATTTTTAATGCATATCCAATGTCTTAAGGATAGTATATGATTATAACTTTGTGAAGAATTCTCATTATTCCCAAGAAATTTGTGTATTTATTCATTTAAAAAATTCTTTTGAGTATTTACCATGTGCCAGGTAACATTCTTGGAACCAGGGGGTTTGAAAATAGAAAAACAACCAGAAAGGCAAAAAGTCTTGCTCCTGCAAGTCTTATGTTATAGGCCCTATACCTTTACACAGAGCCTCCTGGGGTATCACTATACAAACATAAAATCAATGGAAAACATAATATGTTCCATCAAGCTAAGCCCTAAAGGAAGAAAATTAGATCAATGAAGGGGATATGAATGGAAAAGAAGGTGGAAATATAAGAAAAAAATAGGAAAGATTCACTGAGAAGGTGTCTTTGAGCGACGTCTGGAAAGAAATGAGCAGCATCAGACCCCTGGGAGATTCAGAAGAACTTTCATGGCAAAACAAACAAACCCTCTGAGAGCCAAAGACATCAGGAGCCATGTGGCCAGAGGAGGGGAAAGAAATACAAGATGAATTCAGGGCGGTTGAAGAGAAGTAGATCATGCTGGACTAAGCAGGTCTGTATCAAGACATTGATTTTTACTATGAGTAAGATAGGAAATTATTGCAGGACAAGGGTGAATTTGTTTTTCTGATAAAGGTTTAAATGAGATTACAGTAAGATACTAAACATTCAGCACGCTTAACTGCAGAGGATTTGAGTCTTGGTGTAAATGAGAAGTGTGGATTTGCAAAAGAATATATTTGGAAATCCAGGAAGAAGCACAAGAATAAACAACAAATGTTTCTTAAATCTAACTGTAAAATAAATGAAACAACAGAAGTACAAGAAGAAAACATGGATAAATTATTATATAATCTAGGTATAGATAAAACCTTCCTAATTATGCCTCTTAACCCAGGTGCAATAAAAGAATAGATTGATCAACTTGACTATATAAAAATAAAAAATCTTTATGAAGCAAAATAATATCATAAATAAAGGCCAAAGACAACTAACAAAGTGGGAGAAAATACCTTCAAAATACATCACAGATAAAGGATTAATAATTCTAACATACACAAAGAACTCTTAAATGTGTCTTATAAATAACAGAAAAATGAAGATTATGAACAGAGAATCCAGAAAATAATAAAAATAAAATCAGCTATTCAACCTATGAAGGTATGTTCAAGCTTGCTCATACACAATAAGTGAAATGCCGATTTAACTACTCTGAGATACAACCTTGCTCTTATTAGATTGGTTACAATTAATCTATGATTATGGCACATTAGATTAGTGAGACTGGGGAAACAGGCATGCCCATTCATTCTTTATTAAGGGAATTTGACATTGTCTTAAAAGAAAAAAACACCTTAGAAGAGGAAAAGTTTCTTTGGGGCTCATGGTTTCAGAGGTTCAATCCATGGTCGGCCTGCTCCATTGCTCTGGGTCATAGATAAGACCAAGCATCATGACAGAAGGGCATAATGAAAGAAAGCTATTGTCTTTAGTTCGTGGGGGTTTGGAAGCAGAGAGAAAAAGAGAAGCCAAGGGCATGCCCACCTCCTCCAGTCATGCCCCACCAGCTTATAGCCCCACTTAATATAGTAATTCCTTCAAATTATGAATCCATTAAGATTTATCCACTGATTAGAGTACAGATCTCATAATCTAATATTTCACCTCTGAATATTACTGTATTGTCACATGAGCTTTAGTCAAGGGGAGCACACCTCATTCAAACCATAACAACTACGTATACATTTACCATTTGACCAAGTAATCTCACTTTTAGGAATTTGAGCTGGAGATAGACTCTCACCAATAAAAAAATAAGTATGCACAAGGTTATTCTTTAGGGCTTTATAAAGTACCTGTCTATACTAGGGAAATGTTTGAATAAACCTGTGGTATAACCATACAATAAAAAAGATATATGTGGAGAGGATTCAAGCACGTTTATAAGATTAAAAAAAAAAAGCAAAGTGGAAAGATTATTTATAGCATCGTTCCTTTTATGCCATAAAAGAAAAATAATAAGGGAGATGTGTAAGTGCTTATTTGGGTAAAAACAAAGACAAATAAACAAGAAACTATTTTAAAAAAAATACCTATGTGGGTGAGTGGGAATAGTCATAATGGGAGAAGTAACATTTCTCTGATTACATCTTTATGTACAATTCAGACATTTGAAACCATCTTAATGTTTCTCCTATGTAAAAAATTCAAGAAGACAAATTAAAAACTAAAATGGAATATATTCTCTACCCAAAAGGACCATCCTTCCTCAGGGAAATGGCGAGTATCAGTACCAGGGTCTGGCAAGATACAAGATGAATCTGGGACTTCTTGTTTTTCCAAAAAATAATAAAGTAATAGAAGAATCATAAGAATAGGTAAAAATGACACAAGAACTACTCTAATAGTTCCTACTGGCTAAATTAGGGACAAATTGAACATCAAAATAGTGGTAGCAGGGCTGCAGTTGTGGCTCAGCCGTAGAGTGCATGCCTAGCATGCATGAAGCATTGGGTTCGATCCTCAACATCACATAAAAATAAAATAAAGGTTATTGTGTCCTACAACTAAAAAACAACTACTTAAAAAATAGTAGTAGCAATGGATTATGATTAATTGAATAAATAGATAACATTCCTATTGTCAGACACTGTTCATAGTGATATATATGTAAATTAATAAACATACAAGGAAGAGAAAGCTTTTTTCTTTTCAGTATAATGCCAACTAAAGAATATAGAAGTAAAGCCTGATTTAGAAATACCATTTGGTGACCATATGATTCAGGAAAGAATCATTAATGGATTTTAAATTGGTGAAGGAAATTTTGGTGAAAAATTGAAGTCGAGTTTAAAAGTACAATCCTAAAAATACTTATTAGTTGCAAAGGGACAAATAGGACCTTGACACAGGAGAAACGTGGCAGATACCACCCTAACTAAGTGATCAAAGTTACTACCACTAGTAACAGGACCAATAGATAACATGTGCCTCCTGATGAGGGCACAGCATCCCTTCTCTGGTATTCGGGCTAAATATGCATAATCTGGATCCAATTACGAAGAAATTAGATACAAACACAAACTGAGGAAGGCAACCAGCATCCAGGATGGTACCCAATGATCCTGCCTCCTAGTATAGTGTCCTCCTACACTAAATAGGGCTGAACTATATAATCATTAGGATATTCTGTGACTTTTGAGGATAGGTCATAAAAGAAACTGTGGCTTCTGCCTTTCTTGATCTTGGAGGAACTAGCTGCCATGTCTTTAGAACACTCAGCACTTGTGCAATCCAACAGCAAAGTCCACATGGTGAAGAAATGAGGCCTCCAGCCAAGGGCCCTGTGGGTGAGTCATATTCCATGTGGGTCATCCTGTCTCAGCCAGCCCTTCAGGTGGCTGTTGTTCCAGTTGATGACTGCAACCTCAAGAGACTCCAAGTCTAACTAAGCTGCTCTCAAATTCCTGACCACAACAACTGGAAGATAGCAAGTGCTTCATCTGGCTTTAAGCCACTAAATTTTGGGTCATTTGTTCTTATACATTAGACATCTAATTTAAAATTCCATTCTACAAAAATACTATATACTCTTCAAAGATGTCAAGATCATGAAAGAGAAATAGACTGAGGACTCTTTTTTATTGAGAGTTAGGGGGCAGTACCAGGGATTGAACTCAGGGGCTCAACCACTGAGCCATATCCCCAGCCCTATTTTGTATTTTATTTAAAGACAGGGTCTCACTGAGTTGCCTGGCACCTCACTTTTGGTGAGGCTGGTTTTAAACTCTCCATTCTTCTGCCTCAGTCTCCCGAGTCACTGGGATTACTTACAGGCATGCAACCCCAGGTCCTGGTTAGACTGAAGACTCTTAAGGATAAAAAGGTGGAAGAAAATCACGATGATCATATGCAAGCTATGATCCTGGAATGATACTGGACCAGGAAAAAAAAAGTTTTTGTTTTACTGATGTTTTGCTATAACAAACATAATTGAGATGGTTGTCAGAATTTGAATGCAATCAGTAGATTATAGAATAGACTGTGTCAATGTTAATTTCTTGTTGTTGATCACTACTATAGATATGGAGGGAGAGTACTTAGTTTTAGGTAATACACATTGATGTATTTAGAGGAGGGATATAAATGACTGTAAATTTTACTCAATAGATTCCAAAGTAATAACTATGTAAGTATATAATCATACATATGCGGTCTATACATCTTTACAGAGAGAATGGTAAACAAAATATAGTAAAACGTTAACAAAGGATCTAAATGCTACATAAGAATTCTTTGAACTATTTGTGAAACTTTTCTTTGGAAATAACTTGAAAGTAAAAAGAACTTAATAGCAGAGTTGGCAGCCATTCCTAAATTGCCTAAGTAAACTCAAACTGGTTTATTGTTGCTGTTGGTTGGTTGGTTGGTTTTCAAACTGAGGGTTGAATTCAGTAATTTTAAATGAATTTAGTGAGTCCAAACCAGAATTTAATAATAATAATAATAATAATAATAATAATAATAATAGAATAGGATAGACCAGCATAACATCCGAACTTTGAACATTTTAGTGTGAATACTATTTTGCGAAATGTTTCAGTTCTAGAAAGAGAAATTAATGTGCTGAGTTGCACAGCCTCAGAAAAAGTTGCACTGAGGGGAGATTCTGAGCTCAGCCCTCTCGCGCCCGCCCACCTCCAGCCAGGGCCACCCCTCCGCGCCTCTTTCACCCCACGCTCAGGCGCTGCCTTCCGCCCCCGGGCCACCTGCAGGTGAGCGTGCACGAGGTGCCAGACACTATTTAAGGACCCGCCTCCCTGTGCTCACAGCTGTCTGCTGCCCAGCCCTGCCCTCCCGCAGCTGCCAGAGGCTCGCGGGTCCGGAACGCATCCCGGTCGCTGGGGCTGCCGCCGTGGCATGGGCGCCGCGGGCCCGCTCTGGGTTTTCTTGGCTCTCTTCGCGCCAGGGGTCCTCGGTGAGCTGGGAGGGGGAGCACGGGGGTAGGGATGCGTCTGGGACCGGGAAGGCTTCAGTGCCCCTATGCAAAGCATGGAGCCAAAAGCGGGAAGACGGGGACAGTGACAGACGACTGCCCCACTGGCTTTGGGAACCTTCTCCCCAATCTCCGGGGGTCCTGATTGTCCCCAGTCCCTCTTCTGGGAAGTCAGAACACCCAGAATTGGAGGTTGAGTCACACAGGGACGCCATTGGATGTACCTGGTGTGGCTGGTGGCAGACAGATCTTTCCTCCCCGGGGCTCCCAGCCCCTGGGACTAGGCAGGTGCTTCTAGCTCTCCGCCTGCGGGAGGTCTGCGAGCGCCTAAAACCTACCCAGGCTGTGCACCAGATCGCAGAGCACACGTGTTTCTGTACACACAACTATGCTCCTGCCCAGGAGCAGTAGCAGAACCTCGGTTCCTTGGGTTCCTTGTCCTAAAAAAGAAACACCTCTGCTCCCGACTGTGGTTCTCAGATATTTCTAACTTTGATATGACATTGGTAAACATCTGGAGTCATTTCAAAAAGTTGAGGCATGAATTAAAACTTTAGTTTTCTTCAGTGTTTTTGACCTTCTGTAAGAGTGTAAGCTTTAAGAAAGTCTCATTCAATATCATAACTTTTTTTTTCCTCCCAGACTGGCTTGATTTTAAAGTATTATAATGTGTTTTGATTAGAGTCTCTTGGCTACTGTGAGTCTTTGTAATTATCTCCCATGGACAATGAATTCTTAGTTTTTTAAAACGTTTACTGTATGAAGATTTCAATAACTGGGTGACTTTTGGCAAGTTATTTGGTGTCCCCCCATCCTCAGTTTCTATATGAGATGAAGTCAGCATTAG